TGGGCATCCTAAGGCCATGACGTGTGGGCATCCTAAGGCCATGACGTATGGGGACCTAACATAGCGCGTTCTTGAGGTGGAGCAGTGGCTGTCCAAAAATGTCTTCCATTCTGCCACGAACCTCCTGAGTGTTGGGTGAGGATGGCTTCATCACTCTAAATGAGACGGAACCATGTGGGGAGGGCTATACAGTAAGCGATGAAGCTGGCCACATTCATCAAATATGGCCGTTTCTTGCGTAACATAAAAATTATAATTCGATGAAAGGATGATATCTGAAATTAGGTCAGCAAATGCTCTTTTTTATTATTGGTTTAGGAACAGTGAATTTCAGCTTTCGACTGTGAGTTTCTGGGGCTGCCTTCGGCATTAAGGGGATGTGCTGTGTCGCTCTTTGATACCCCGTGTGATCGGTACAGAAAATTACGTGAAGCCGTGTGCCGATTTCCGCCATGTCAGCTAGGATTGGTGTGTTATCAGGAAGGCAACGATGAGGCAACGTTTGTTTTTTTTTTATTCTTCAAATGGTTAAGTTCACAACTACTGCTTTACAAGCCTTTAGCATTGTTGGATGACCATATGTTTCGTCTCCATTTTTTCAAGATATATTATGTCCGTGGGTCGTTTGAGACCGTCTCGCTTTACCTGTAACTTCTTCATTATCCTTTAGGTACCGTGCAGATGCATTCTGCTTCACACTTTTCAAACGCATGCCGGAGAAAGAGTTTTCCGTTTCAACTTCTGCCATCACCTTCTTAGCCGAACATAAATTCGATTTCAACAGAGTGCGTTGATTAAATATTCTGATTTCTTCTTCACTGTGTTGTCAATTACTCTGCGACTGTAGCGAATGGGTCTTGCAGCTGCAGTGGGTTTCCATGAACGAGAATCGGCGAATGGGGATAGACACGAAAAATGGGTAGACATGTTTCTGATATGCTCATGAATCCTGTTCGCTAGTAAGCAACTCTCAAGTTAGGTCACGCAACAAACAGAATTAAAACCGCAAAGAAAATAATCACATGAAATCAAGTCAGAGTGTAAGGGTGAGGAAAATGAGTCATTGCTCCTGCGACGCACATAAGCAGGCTTTCATACGCAAATTGGAGGGGGTGTAGAGACACGAAGATTTTGCATCGAAACTTTTCCAAAGTCCTTAAGCAAAAATAAGCTCTCATATATTACCTTTCTAGTCCAAAATATGGCGTCACCTATGCTCGTTGAAGTCAGGGAAACCTACCGTAATCGATTTGGGTGTGGTTCACTAGGACAGAAAGCGAGTTTTTCGCGTTTCGCAGCGCGAAACATTTTTCGCTGCGGGAACCTCAGGTCCACCGCTGATCATCAGTGGACCCGAGGTTCCCGCAGCGAAAAATCAGTGGACCCCAGGTCCCCGTAGCGAAAAACAAACGCGAAAAGTCGCTTTCTGTACTATCGAACCACACCCATCAATTTAGCTTGTGGTAGCATAACTATGTCGATGGCTCTATTTGTGCAGAACCCAGCTAACCAGCTGTCAAGCAACTTCGTTATGGTCTACCAGTTGGCGCCGCACGCATTGCGCGCACAGCACAGTTCTGCGGCGATATAGGATGGTGCGGCGTGAATTTTCGAATTTGGCCCAATACACTTCGAATATTTGACTTTCAAGCTGAATTCTATCCGATTGCCCCATGCTTCATCCACCGATGGCTTTTGACCTTCCCTCCTTCCTCCACCAATTGTCCGTAATCGTCAACCAATTGTCCGTTTTTCCCGGCCTCGGACTGCCTCCGGACCGATTTATGAACCTCGTGGTAAACTCCGCCTATTTCTTTGCATGTCCCACCTATCTTTTTCTTCCTCGCCAACCTCTTCCCACTTTTTACCCGATCTCTGAACTATCTCTGAGCCGATTTAATTTTGGCGGCGAATCCTGCTTTTTGGTGTATCCTCCGCACACCATTAGAAATTCACTTCCTTTCCTTCGCCCACTTCTCTCCCGGTCTTGCAGCCGAGTCACAAAGTTTTGTGGAGAACTCCGCCCACTTGGAAATGCCCCGCCCACCAACAGCAGTTGGGCTCCACTCCTTCACCCACCTCTATCCACCTTTTCCCGGTCTCCGGGACTTCTTGGAACCGAGTTATGAATTTTCGTCGCAAACTCCGCCCACTTTGGTGTACGCTCTACCCACCAATAGCAGCTGTCCTCCCGTGCGTTGTCGGACTCTACCCACTCTTTTCCGGTCTCCTGGGGTGGTATTCAATCCTTCCCCAAGGGGTTGGGGGACGGAAATCCCTTTAAATTTATTTGTTTTTAACGATGTAGTTTCTTCATTTTCAATGCATGTTTACTTTGACCTACATACATACATTAAATGTAGGCCCTTTATCAGGACAATCCCAGTTGGGAAGACAGAGAAAATTTAAAGGATTTTCGTCCCCAACCCCTGGGGGAAGGATTGAATACCGCCCCTGGACTTCTCGGAACTAAATTGTAAGTGTAGGGCAAACTCCGCCCACGTGGTGCACGCCCTACCCACCAAAAGCAGTTGACCTCCTTTCCGTTGTCAAACTCAATTAACTTTCTTCCGGTCTCCAGGACATCGCAGGCGATGACACCCTCTTGGCCTTACGTCTGGCGGGGGCGGACCCTTTTGTACAAAGTTGACAACATACGCTTCTCACTCGATATACGCGTCTTACGACGGCTTGGCTCAATAAACTCTTCGTGCTCACGCTTTCTTACTTCTCTCTCATCATATATAAATCCACTGAACCACCGCGAGGTGATTAAAAGGGTCCACCATAACCCTAAGTCTCTAGTCACCCGCAACACGAGTTATGAATTTTCGTCGCAACTCCGCCCACTTTGGTCATGCCCCGCCCACCGATGACAGTTGGCTCCACTCCTCCACCCACCTCCATCCACCTTTTTCCCGCCTCCGGGACTTCTTGGAGCCGAGTTATGAATTTTCGTCGCAAACTCCGCCCACTTTGGTCATGCCCCGCCCACCGATGACAGCTTGCTCCACTCCTCCACCCACCTCTATCCACCTTTTTCCGGCTCACTAAGACTTCTCCGGCCCGAATTATGAGGACTTGTAGAAAACGCTGTACACTTCAGAGCGCGCTCCGCCCATTGTGGGCGGGCCTCCGCCCACGTCATGTATGCTGGGAACACCTTAGACATTGCTCCCCTACACCAATTTGTTTTCTGCTCTGTAGGCTTTCTCCCAACCGAGTTATGAAATTTTTCATAAAGCACTGCTTATTGGAGATGCCCGCCCAGTTCATTTCGATGCACGCCACGCCCACTGTGGGCGGGGCTCCGCTTAGCTGATGTGTGTTTTGTACTTCGTGAGACCTTGCCCCCATCCCACACTTGACCCGGTCTCTCCAGGCGGATCCCGAGGAGCTAGGGAATTTCGTGACAGACATACAGAACGTGACGCTTCGCATTACGAAGCCTTTGATATCATTCGTACAAAAGACCATCATGAAGTTGCGTGGTAGCTTTGAGTGTGCTGTTTACAATATGATTAGCTTAAATTGTCTGATTGAAGTTTAGGGTGAAAATGGCATTGAGGACGGCACTCCATTGGGCGCTCTTGTCGCTAACAGGGTCAATGAAGTGGTCGAATCACTTTTAGAACTTGTTACTTCGTCCAGGGTCAACCCTATGTTGCTACAAGTAGCAACGGGGGGTCGTATTTTGATGAGTTTGTAGGGGGGGGTCGTACTTGCTTCGGTTGTAAGAAGTGGCATGTGATGAGTGGGGAGCGGCGCGGAAAATTTGCTGTTTCAGCGCGTGTGTAATGGTAATTTTTTGGGGTAAAATTGTTTCGAAAGAGGGGGTCGTATGAAACATTTCATGAGGGAGGGGGGTCGTAAAAACTTTTTGAAAAGTAGCAACGATAGGACCGACCTGCTCGCTCTTAGAGGGTATTGTATGAAACTTAATGTAATATAATCACCTACAGTGCGTTTCAAAAGTATAAAGCCACCCTTGAATGAAGCTGTTCCAAGTTAGAATGAAGGTTCCGTGATTTGATGAATAGTTTATCGAATTCAGCACGCTCTGAAACTATAGTAAACTTTGTTGTACAAACCACTATAAGCTAGAAACGGTTCCATAAGAAGAATTTGAAAAACTCCCCTGTTTCAAAAGTATAAAGCCACCCCGGGCGAGTAGGCAACAGCGGTAAAAATTTTTGTTCCTGTTAACTCATTTGGAGTTCTATTGCTGAAGTTTTTGTTCTGTTAACTCATTTGGAGTTCTTTGGCCATAATTAGCACAAACACATTACGTCTTCAATATATCTCGTGGATCTACGTTTTCTTTGGAAGAGCAAGTTCGTGCGAGGACGTTACATCGAGCTGCCCATTCAAATCGCTCCATTGCTGCTCAACTTGGACGTTCTCAAAGCTGTATCGACATTTCTTTTGAGGAATCCAGCTTATCATGAAAGGAAAGATCCCTGAAAGGTCACGTGTTCTGCTTGAGTATTATATCCGCCATATTAAACGATCCCTTTCCAATTCTACTGCGACCATCAGTCAGATCCGATACGAGCTCTCCTTTTTGCTTCGAAAAGTTCCATCTGGAGGGTCGCTAACTCTGCTCCAAATAATCGTGCGACAATCCATGATGAAGACTCCACGTCCGGAACAGCATCACAAAGCACCTCGTCTCGAACTCGCCCGGAGGAACATGCGAACGAGTTGGGTTCGCTATGCTATTCTACGGGTAGGAGACTTCATCATGACGTTTAGTTAATGGTCTTGTAGTGTTCAGTTCATTTTCTGTGGTTGAAAGAACTTCAACTTAGACGGGCCGGATGGTCATCACAGATTCTGGAGAGATTTTAGCAAAGATCCGCTGGTATTTAGCAGGAGAAACTTCGGTGGTGGCGCATAGATGGTCTGAGCTGCATTCTACAGCGATGCTGTGCTCCCTCTGTCTTTCGTCTCGTGTCAAATGGACCCCAGTGAGAATCAGGATGCTTTTCTTAATGATCTTCTCTCGTTTCTGTGTGGAAGTCGTCGGCAAAACTTCATCTTTATGCACGATTACGCCACCATCCATCGCAGCCGGTCCACTCAACACCGGGTTTACGTCAACAAAATCAGTGTACTGGAATGGCCTGCTAGCAGCCTAGATCCAAATCCAATAAAAAACACCTGGGGTATCATTGTCCGACAGATATACGCGTATGGAAAGCAGTACAGTAACGTGGGAGACCTCAGACAGCCATCGAGACGTTTTCCTACCACCTGAATCCCGCTATACTTCTGAAGCTCACGGATAGTATGCCAAATGGTCTATTAAATCTCACTTCTAAAAAAGGAAGTCACGCTAGTTACTAATATTTACGATGTTCACTTTTTCTCTGGAAAAATAGAGTTATGTTGCAAGTGGCTTTATACTTTTGAAACAGGGGATATTTGGAAATCTTCTTATAAAAATGTATGTGAATCATTTTGTTTCCTGAAATAAAGAGAACAATGGTTTCCAAACACGCTGAATTCAATAAAGTTTATGGCAAGCCATGAAATACTCACCTTAACTCGGAAAGTTAGTTTTCATGGGTGGCTTTATACTTTTGAAACGCACTGTTATTGACTTTAGCATTAATGAGTCGTTACTCTCTATTGAGTGGAAAATGGCCCCGAACAACCTGTTTTCAAAGAGGCTAAATCAACAATATCACAACCTTTTATTCCAACGTTTATCCGGAGTAGTGAGTTGAGTTGTTTCTTCAGCCTCCACGGAAGAACGCCGAAGCGGCCAGCTGACATTGGATGTGAGAAA